TGAAGCGACAAACAACAACAAAGGCGTTCAATTCTTTTTATATCTGTTTACATTTTTTCTTCGCCAGGAGGCCAAGCGGACGATTTGATTTCCCGGGCGTCTATTGGACGAGGAAATTGAGAATGATGATTACGTCATGTTTGATCGTTAATTGGTTTAAACGCTCTCCGGTGCAGCAGCAGTAGTTGTTGATGAAGATGATGATGACGTTTTGGGTGATGATGGTGGTGGTGGTGGTGGTGATTATGATTGTAAGGATGATGATGATGATGTAGATGATGAAGATGATGATGACGACGACGATGATGATGATGATGATGGTGATGATGATGATGATTATAGTGGTGAAGATGATGATGATGACGATGATGATGATGATGATAATGATGATGTTGAACTGATGATAATTATGAATGATGTGAACAATCACATTGAGAAATAACGCTTGAGGATGATGACGTCATCCTGATGGTTAAATCACCAATATCAAAAACTATCAAAGTACAACTTGAATGATAACGTAACTGTGACGTTACTATGACGTAACGACTGCTGGGATCCATGTTGATGACGTCATAAATATATTAATGGAATTAGTCTCTGTAGCCAGATGGTGATGTTGTGGAATGTAATTGATGATGGTGAGGACGATGATGGTGATGACGATGATGGTGATGAAGAAAAAGTAGAAGAAAATGAGCATGATGATGATGATGAGGTTGTTGATGATGACGATGAAAATGTAAAAGATGGGGGTGAAAAGGTGTTAATTTTTTTTTTTTTGAGTAGCTAACATAGTTATTTTATTTTCCAAGATTACGCATATGGAATTCGATGATTTGAAAAGTTTGAAAAAAAAAAATTTGAAAAGCTATCAGCTGTTAGTGAACGTTTCATCCAGCTCTGAATTTCGAAGTCCCGCAATTTCAATCAGAAATTGACAAGTGCAAATTGGCCATAAACTGAAAGCAAAATACTTATCATGACTATAATTTCGCGATTTGACATGACGTTTCGTGACGTAGACGATGACGTCACCGGGCCAAGGTCGAACTAATAGGCGAGTCACGTGATGCTTGTGTTTAGGATAGATTGAGCGTGTCTCTGTCGTTTTCCATTAGCGTTAATGATGTCAATGGTGTTTAATATATCCAATAATTTTGTATGGCTCACTGAATGCTGTTTGTTTGCCTCAGTTTATATCAATGTATTCTTATTTCTAGAGGTTTGAGCTTGAAGACGAATTTGCAAGGCTTAAATCTTGATGCAACGACTGCTTCTGGTTGCACTTTTATGTGTTGGTGAAAAAATGCCTGAGCCAATTAAAGTGCTGGATCAATGGGGTTTGAGAAGACCGTAACAAAGTTCGCGACTGACGATCCGCAAATGGTTCAAATCACTTCTATTTTATTAAAATTTAAATTTCAGGTTGAACTATTTTGGAAAGGCAGGTTTTTTTTCTCACTTTTCCTCTCCTCTCTCTCTCTCTCTATCTATCTCTCTATCTATCTATCTATCTATCTATCTATCTATCTATCTATCTATCTATCTATCTATCTATCTATCTATCTATCTATCTATCTATCTATCTATCTATCTATCTATCTATCTATCTATCTATCTATCTATCTATCTATCTATCTATCTATCTATCTATCTATCTATCTATCTATCTATCTATCTATCTATCTATCTATCTATCTACCTACCTACCTACCTACCTACCTACCTACCTACCTACCTACCTACCTACCTACCTACCTACCTACCTACCTACCTACCTACCTACCTACCTACCTACCTACCTACCTACCTACCTACCTACCTATCTATCTTTCTATCTATCTATCTATCTATCTATATATATATATCTATCTATTCTATCTATCTATCTTTCTATCTCTCTCTTTATCGGGTTAATGCAGACGCGTTTTTTTAAATATGATTTTTATAAAAATTGAAAAAACTGTAACTTACTAAGTAAATCTTATACTCTTTGTTAACGGTGCCCTCTGTGGAGGAGAAAATCAATTGACGTTAATTTTAGTTATTATAAATTCAAAGTGCCAACCCAGCCGTCCATCATTTCGAGGCTGGTAAATGGGTAGACGACTTAAGTTGTTGCATGCTGGCCGGCGAGATGGCTCAGTGGTTCAAATGCGCGCTGAGTCAAACATCTCAATGGCCATCATATACTCAGCGTGTATGATGCGGTGCTTTCGCGTGCACATAAATACATGTGTACGTTGTATGAAAATGATAAACAGCCTTTGTGGCGATGATGGCTGCTTCAAATCAATGGTTGAAGAACATAATAAAAGATAGTATATCTGTGAAATTGTAAGTGGTTCTGCATATGTCAAAGCTGCAATAATAAAGACTAAAAAAATTAGCTATCTAATAAAATTGTGTAAGTTTTAAAATACTTGCGTTCGAGACATTGCATGTAACAAATAAGACTAGTTTCAAAGGTTACAAAATTTCTTTTCAATAAGTTTCCAATTATTCACGACACATTCAATTTATTCAGCAAATGAAGTCTCATTCATTGAAATCAAAAGTTTAACAAATTTTAACGAGTCTAATACCCGTCAAACTGGCAGATAGGACAAGTAGGAACATTGCACCTGATATCGTTGAATTTAAAACCATGGAAACCATCAGCCATTGCTATGCAATCTTCAGCATTACTATAATGATTTGGTTTGCCCATTCTCCAATTATTATATTCTCTCAAATTTTTATACATAATGAGATCGTCCAGAAATTTTGCAGTTTTGTATATTTTCCAGTCGAAGATTCCCTGTTAGTGTTTTCTTCTGCCTGCCGTCCAGAAACCCTTCTTGTCATTTAGATAGTTAGAGATACATTTTCCTGGAAAAAATTTTTATGAAGAATTCATTCGATATTCACTAAACTGATTATGTATTTTATTGCTTATAAAAAAAAGTTCAAACAACACTTTTAAAATATTAAAAAAATTCTAATTTGAAACTACCTAAAAATGTTTCCAAATGAATTAATTGAAATACCGGCATCAGCATTAATATCTGCACTATGCAATTAATTCTGTAATTTTTTCTTAAATAATCAAAGGATGGAAATAAGGAACATACAATCTAACTAAGGAAACTCTATACTTTACCGTCAGGTATGAACACGGTTATTTCACTAGTCAGATGAGTTACAAACGAGAGTCAAGTTAGCTCCATAGTAAGTGAGCAGCTTATGTCTCGTTCATGTTCGCGTTCATGTTCGTGCCTATGTTCGTGTTCATGCTCATGTTCATGTTCTTAATCATCACGTAAAGTAAACAAATGAACAGATGATCAGTGCCAACGTTATCATTATATAACTTTTCCATCATCACAATTTTAATCATTTTATTGTACTATTAAAGTCATATTAATTGCTACAGATTTTTTAACAGAATTCTCATTTTTTTTATATATAATTATACTTTTTTCATCATATTTTTAGCGATTTTGTAATAATTTTTAACTTACTGACGTTCTAAGATTAAAAAATAATTTTGATTATGAAATATAATATCGGCGATAGAGACGTATACATTTTTTATGATGCACAATCTGAATATTTGCATCTGTTTTTAATAAAAAAAAATTCAACGAATTCATGATCGATTTTCCTATCAGCAGAACAAATAAACTTCTCACGACCTGATTGATGAACTATCACGTAAAATAAACGTTAACTTTAAACATTTTTAAAGCTCTTTTTAAAGCTCTGAATGAATGAAAATTATTAAAAATTGTTTTCTTCATTCAAAATTTTCTTATTTCTCCATCCTAACTTAATATTCTTAGTACTGGTTTCAAATTATGTTATTAAAATATTATAAACATTTTCCGATCATTTACATAACTTGTGAGTGTGTGTATGTGGTGTGTGTGCGTGCGCGTGTGTGTACGTGTGATGTGTATGTGGTGTGTGTGTGTGTGTGTCATATTTTTAAATATTATTAAAAAAAACGACATTTTGACTACTTGTTAATACAGTGGTATTAACGACTTTGAAAATGTCATAGAAATCAGATCTCGAAATGGAGAAAACATTTAAACTAAATTACAACAGAATTGAAAAAAGTACACAAAATGTATGCGTTATTTTTTATCAGTGAATGTGCACTGCATATCCATATAATATATAATTTGGAAAACTCAAAAATTAGTTTATTTTGGGAAAGAATGAAGTGGAGGCTGAACAACTATTGACTTCTTTTTAAGAAGTTCCGTTTGAATTTGATCATGAAAGTTTCCCAAAAGTCCTGGAATGCCTTAAAAATCATGAGTCAGTTCAAAATGGATCAACTGTTAAGTACTTTTAGCAGCAGCAGTTAAAGAAATCACTGGCTCAATTCAGTTGTAAATAGGGATGGCATGTTTTGAATGTGTATATTGAAGATTGGAAATTTGATAATATTTTGTGTTTTTAATGTCGTTAGTCGGGTTTTGAAGAAAGTAGTAGATCGGGAGGGACTCTTAATGTGGAGACAATCCGTCAGAAACAAAACAGTCGTGAAAGAGAGAAAATAGAGTCCTAACTGGAGGTGTCATTGGGGAGGAGTATTGCTGTAGCTGAAAATATTCATGAAAGTTGAATGTATTCAAATTTGCAACTTCAGCTCATTAGATGTCACTTAAGAAAATTTGAAAATTATACTACATACTATCGTTGAATTGTGTTCGTTTTAGAGTTTTCAAAAAAAAGTTATTTTGAATTCTCTAAATACTCTGATAGACACGTCTGTGAGTATCTGTAGTTTTTTATTAGATCGATTCTTCAAATAGTCTGTTTGCTAATCGCAATGAAAAATTCATATTTGTCTTATGAGCTCAAATTTATTCCCACAAATTATGGCCAAATAATAATATAAATGGATAAAATAAGTTGACAGATACGTGTAGATGATACTCATAGCTATCTAAACTCATTTTTGTGAAGAAGTATTCTGATTGAGAACGACTAAGAAAAAGAAGATGGCATTTCTTTTGGCGGTGCTCTGGTGTACCTTGTTTTGGCTAAAATGTTCCGCTGCTCCCTTTGCTACAAGTAAATGAATTTTTTTTATATTAGAAAAGAAATTAACGTTTGCTTATTTAAAATTTGTAAAATTAAGGATATTACTAAAAATTATCTTGGAAATTATAGATACCAAGTTTTTTGTATAACTAACTTTTTGTATCTAAACACGTGATATCTTTTTTATAGTTTTAACAATATTTATGTGAAACGTGAATATTAAACTGGTGCAACATTTTCAGAGTTCTATATTTCATATTTGAAAATTATTTAAAAGAGGTGAATGACTAGAATTTGTTTTTATTCAGCTTACCCGAGCTACGGTAGAACTAAAGGAAGTCAGAGTCATTACACGGGTTACAAACTTTTATTAGGAAATTCCCATTGTTATTTTTATCAGATCCAATTTATATATTTCTAAGTAGCATTTTGAAAATTTGAGTTTAAGATATGTTGTAAAAGGACGGGTTGCGTATTTAAAAAGCTTGTATTCTCGTAATCGCAAAGAAGAACCACATACTATCGCATGGTGACACGGTAGCGTAGTGGTGGAATGTCCGGCTATTTTGTTGCAGTGATCGGCTTCAAATGCGTAGGAGATTGCCGCATATAATACACGAGTTGGATGCGCTGTTCCGCTTGTATGCCTGTGTATACATTGTTCAAATGCGGAGAATTGAAACTAAAAACGCGTCGAACCACACGTAGAGTGCTATATAAATTAAAACTTTCCTATTTTTCACATGATTTCTGTGTAGTTTAGTTGGTAGGTTTGAATAGCGAAAATATTTTGCATACTATAATAGATTTATCATTTATAAAAAATATACACATTATTCATAATAAATGTTCATAAAAAATCATATTCTTTTAGCACAACCCAACTACAACAAACAAACTGGAGATTATTGGGCAGATTACTACAGCACCACTGGTTAGCTATTTTTAAACGAGTAAAAAAAACAATCATTAAATTTTCAAATTTTTTTTTTCAAAAATTCATAATTGAATTTAATATCGTTATATACTTAGATAGAAAAAAAGAGAGAGAGAGAGAGAGAGAAAGAAGAGAAAAAGAGAGAGAAAGAAAGAGACAGTATCATTAACATTTTAAATTAACATTTATGTTATATATGATACAGCGTCAGCTGCCTACAACCATCCAACCAAAGGTTATTGGGCAAACAGCCATCGTAGCACAGGTTAATTGTAAATTTATAAATATTGCATTTTTCTACATAAGGAAGTAATGTTACTCAAATAACCGAATCAAATTTTTCCTTTAAAAATGTTATTCAAAAGTTTTGTCAAAATAATTTTGGATGGCCTTTAATGTATGGGCGGTGTGATAGCGCAATGGTTAAGGTGTTGGTGGCGTCTGATTTGCAATATGTATCTGTATCTAAAGATTTGTCGAGCGCTTCTATTAAATAACTTCACTCGAGATTGACAAAAAAATGATGTTTCAAACGATTCTTAAAAACGTGTCGCTGGCCAAGTTGACTAATATGTTTTATATATGTAATATGTAATATATGAAACATCGCTGGCCAAGTTGACTAATATGTTTTTCAAATGAAAGATGATGATCCAGTGTGACTCCAAGATTTGTTACTGGGTTTTTGTAGTCATTTAAGCGGCTGAAGCCATGCGGAGTTCTGATCCATAAACGTTTTCTTGACGTTGAGTGGGATGTGTGATTAGCTGGTCGACATGTATTGACAGTTTGTGTGTTTTACTTGATTCGTCTAAAAAATACCAAAAAGTGAAATGTAAAAATAATCCAATGTATCAGCGTCACCTGGATATAAAGGACATACAGAGGATTATTGGCTGAAGTACTACCACACAGGTTTGTCAACTTTAACAGTTGATTTTTCAATGTTTATGTTTACCTCGTTTGTGTGCTTGCTTTTTAAATATTAGAGATTTTAAAAACCAACCTGTGAGAGTCTGTGAGAGTTTAATTTTCTATTACTTTTGATTCAACACCAGTTTATGTTTCATAAAAAGATATAAACCAAATTTAAGTTAGTTGACGATTATGTTAGAAGAAATTTTGACGGAATATTTGACAGAATAGTTGTTCATAAACAAAATCTGGCAAAAAAAATATAAATAAATAAACCATTTCAAAGTGAAGCGTGTATTTAACTTGTAATTCACAAGAAACACAACTCGCAACACAATTTTATACAAGTTTATTTAATGTTAATTTCAGATGCTCCAAAACAAAACCAAGAAACGCAATATTACGGTTCGAAATATTATCAAACAGGTTAATACCATTATTCCATGGCTCGAGTTATACAGTTTTTATTTATTTCACCCTTTCAAAGACAAACAGAGCTGCATATTTGTATAAACACGTAAAAATAAATAAAGTTCCAAATCAATTCTGTTAAACGAGTAACAATTTGAAAATTATCACACGAAATATTATAGAGTCACCAAAATATGATAGAGGAACAGAGGATTATTGGGCAAAATATTACCGGACAGGTTTTATTTTATATTCCTGTTTATTTGTTTATTATATGTCACCGCGTTAGTTTTCACTATCTACTGATAAATTTGAATTTGCAATTTTTATTTAAGACTCACCGAAACAAAATAAAGAAACTGAAGACTACTGGCGAAAAAATTATCAAACAAGTTGTCATTCTTCTAATTTTCGCATTATGTAATATATCTCTACAAAATGCAACTTAGATATGTTCGTATTAATTTTTAAAAATAAGGTTTCAAAACTCTTTTTCAACAACTCTAAAACATTTTTCAACCTATACACAAACTTAGACTCACTTGGGTATTACGGTGGAACTGAAGACTATTGGGCTAAATATTATCAAACATGTTTGGTTTTTTTTATTACCTCTAATTGGATGAATTTTTCTTTACCTATCAAACTATAGACAGTCTGATTTAGTATTAACTTTGAGGTTTCAAAATAAAATTTACTCAACTCATTTACAATTAATTTCATTTATATTTTCATTCAAGTTTTTCATTTTGAATCTTAGACGCACCAGAACAAAACCAAGGGACTGAAGAATACTGGTCAAGATATCATCAAACTGGTCGGTTCTTATTACGTCGTTCCCAATTTGAATTTTTATTCGCAATTGAATGTTCGTCTCATTTGAATATCCTGTTTAAAATTGGTTTTGATTTTTAATGAACACTTTCAAAAAGTTTTTACAATCTATTAAACAATTTAGATTTACCAGATAACAGCGTTGGAACTGAAAACTATTGGGCCAAATATCACCAAACTGGTCTGGTTGTATATTCATATTCTTATTATTTGAATGCTTTAAGTATTTACCGGATGAAAAATGACGAAATAGAATTTGGTTTTAAGTTAATTTGTTTACGTATTTATATTTTGTATAATTTTCATGGGAAAACTCATGCACGACAATTTTTTCATTCAAGTTTTTTTTTTTAATTAGATGCCCCCGAACCAAATCGAGGAACCGAAAATTACTGGTCAAATTATTATCAGACAGGTAAAATTTAAGATGTTTTATCATTTTTCTTTTTATAATTGCAAATAAAAAATGCTTTAGTATACACACAAAAAAATTTTTCGCTATCAACAGTATTTTATAACTTCTTTAGAATTCTTAATATGAAACATAAAATGTTTTCACATATTATAATGAGTTGTTTTCATCTTCTGCTTCACCCAATTTCAATATTTATATTAAGGATAGCTATCTTTTCAAAACATGATATCTCATTAAAAATAATTTATTCAGCATTGCCTGATTATGATACTGTGACAGCCGATTATTGGGCTAATTATCAACAAACAGGTTAGTAGCGAAGAAACTCTAGAAATCAATGAATTAAACTAAAAATACATATTTTATATGAAATTTGGTATCATATAATATATAATAACATTCGTGATAAAAAAACTTTTTCTAATAACGTATTCCAACCAAATGTCATACACAGGAGAGAATGACTACGATTCTCAAACAGGTTGATCTTATGCAGATTTTTTTAAAGCTGGTTTTTAAATAAATTAGAAACAAAAACCAAATCACTTATTAAAAATGTAATGAACAACATTTTCTATCGTTATTTCATATAGTTTTCACTTATTTTGAAATATTTCAAATTTTTAGTTTTTTTAAATTTAGCTTTTGGTGAATTTTACTCAATGAACACATGCAAAAAAACTATTCATTCAAATTATCATCAAACAAAATTTTTTTGTTAGTTTATTTATTCTAACAATATAGAGCAAACTAATTTGAAATTATGTTTTAATGTTTCTCAGGCTATGTCACAGCAGAGTATGGAGACGCCGATGGTAACGAAGTTTGAAAATGCGAACTTTAGCATAATTATATGCTGAAAGACACTCACTTGGATATAATATTTTTTATTAAATTTCAAATTAAAACTTACAAAAATTTCAAATAATTTTGTTTAGTTAGATTTGAAATAAAAAAAATTTCATGCCTCAATCTTTAAATTTCACATTGCTGAAGAAAGTTCTCATTTAGGTTAACAAACTTATGTATACATCTTGAAACTATATATAAATTGAATTAAATCTCCGAATTCACTAATAGGATATGACGTAAGCCATTGTAGCCGAATTGTGAAGTGTTGGGCAGCACGATAGTGTAGTGGTTAAGATGCCTGGCAGTGCTGAGGCAGGAATCGGGTTCGAATGTAAAGAGATCCTCTGCTATTACCTTGAAATGTTTGTTATGGTTTAGTAAGAGGTTTAAAAGATGAACAAAATATTAAAGATATCTTATTAGTTAATTAATGAACTAATGATTCACATGTAGGAAGTTTTATGTTCATAAAATATCAGCTGCGTAATTATGGTCCAAATATATGGCTATCGACCATCTCTCTGTTGATTTCCTAAAAAATTCATATTCCGAGAGACACGCAGATTTTTAAAAAATATTTTGTTGACTTTGGCTGGAATCCAATGAACTCACCTTGATAATTTAAAATGAGCACCAAAATGTTATTAGTCACAGGCAGAGTGATTAAATTCAATGAGATCTCCGCCTATCACGTTCAATGAGTATGAAGCATTGTTTGACGTGTGGTTTTTTTACTTCCTATTATGATAGCAGAAGCCAGAGTGCTGACATACTTAACATACTTATTAGAATTTTAGCATGGTTATGACGTGATTATGAAATGTAAAACTCTTTCGAATTTTCTTATATTAAAAACCATTTATTGAGACCATGCGTCCTCAACCATTTGGCCATCCCGTCAAAAAACAATACAAATTAATAAAAAAATTCAAAAAAAGATGAATGTTTAAAGTACTATGGTCAATATGTGCAAATCGTTATAATTATTATAAATTCCTCAAGGTTGTCACCAATGAAGATATTGCTTCACCGTCAAAATGTTTCGGCAGGTCAATTTTAGCCTGAAACTGAATTAAAACTACTCAACATCGATCTCACATAGAACGGAAAACGAACTGCCGCAATAATTATTCTCCATGCGGTTTATTTCGATTACGAATACAATGCAGTTCATATTAAGGTTCACTAAGTTTGCACCATCATTCCACCAGGAGTAGTAACTGATTGGACTCTCTTTTCCTGGTTTTAATGTTGAAATTTTTCAATAAAGAAACTATGCTAGTTAAAATGGTCATATAAACATCTTCAAACTTCTACCTAAAAAAAATTTGATTAATGCCCATGAATACAAAATTCTATAATAGATAACATTTTTGCAAACATGATTGTATTTCAAATTTTGATGAGATAGCTAATCATAGTGAAAAAACTGCAATTGTTGTTGTTGGTGGTAATGATAATTTAATTAATTCAGTCTATTTAATAATTCAGCATTTATTAATATTAACATTTTGAGATAATTAATTTGTACACTACGAACGTTGGGTTGAACATCAGCAATCACTCAAAATATCTCCATGCCACAATGGACGGTGCAAATTTATACAGTTAACAATTTTGAGTAATTCTATTAATACCTGGATAGGGTTGCCAGATGAAAAAAGAAGTTCTATTGATGTACGATCGAAAGCCAGCTGTCCAAACCATCAAAAAATCTGTGGTTAGGAAATACTAAAGATAATTTCAAATTCTATTGTGAATCTGTGACTTAATTATATTAATGTTGAAATTGGGAAAGTTTTTCAAAATTAATTTCAAAATAAAATTACCGCAAAAATAGTAAAAAATGTTCTTACTTTTGTTGTATAAATATGAGCTGAGAACATGATGTTCATTAGAATCATCAATGATAAGGAGATGGGAGTTGAGCAGAGCATTGCAAATATCCCTGGAGACGATCCAAGTGTTTTGCTGTACCTGATAGTTGTAACACCTGTTGTTCTCTACTATGTAGTCGAATTCGGATGGACAGTCTTGTGAAGGGTTTCAAACAAAAAAAATTAATTATTTTACAACAATTTATATACACATTGTTACTTACCGTAAGTTACATACGCCAGGCATCCTCCAGTCAGATCAGTAGTTACGTTATACAGAAGGTTCATTTTCGGAACACACAAACAAGATCCCACTGATGTCCTGTAGTTGATGCCTCTCAAGTTCATGCCGGTTAAATCCTTTTGATTAAATTTTTTAAAATAATTTGGCACAGTTTATGACCAAAATTTTTTGAATTTTCGGACCAAATATTTATTCTGTTTTTTAATTTAATTTGTTGAGAATAAAATTATTTAACATTTTATATAAATTAAAAGTATTAGCAATGTTGAAATCTCAAAAAAAATTCTATCTTATCATAAATTGTCATTTTTAGTGTAGTTGTAAATTTCAAGTGAAAGTTTGTCATTTTCGGTCTAAATTTTAGTCAAAGCAAAATTACCAATTTTTTACGATTCATAATCGATGATTTTAGAATGTAATTTTACGGTTAAAATTGCATTTTATTCACACAATTGATTCTTAACCTTTTGAATAAATTTTTTTTAAAACATGTAAATTTCCGATCAAATTTGATATATTTTCAGTAAAAACGTTCAACCAACTAACACACCAAGCATTTGAGGATGCACTTCTTGATAGAACAAGCTGCTATTCTGATGAGTATGTCCATAGTCTCATCGAAACAAACTTCAGTTTTATGACTACCAGCTAGATAGCTGTAAGCTCTCTTGAATAACTGAAACTGTTGAATTTGCAGTGTGTATGGAAAAATAGCCAGTAGTAGCAGACAGAACCACACGTAGCTATAATGCTTAAAATTCATCTCAAGCTTCTTGCTCCTAAAAAATAAATGTATTTATGTATTTTGGTTAATTGATATGTAAAAGTTTATAATATTATTTCTAAGAAATTGATTACTATTTCGCAGTTCACTACTTTAAACTGTGATATTTCTCAATATTTGTGCAATGCCTCCCTCAAGAAAAAAATGACACTGAGCATTTTCAGCTATTTGCGCTTCTGTATATAACTCTGCTATGAAACTTTGTAAAATCATAGAGTGGTAAACGAAAAAGGCTTATTATTTGGTTTAAAAAAAACATCAGAGATTTAAAGTATTTTAAGATGCCTTATTTGGCAAGAACAAAGGAATCTCTAATGAGTCAAAAACTTTTGTTAGACACCGATGGGTTTTAGATTTGCATTTTACTTAAAATGTTTTAGTCTGCTATACGGTTTAGATTTGTATTTAACTTAAAATGTTTTAGTCTGTACTTTACGTGTCAGCTTCTTTATAAGTTCGTCTATTCGTTTATGTTATTCTTTTATATCTACAATGTATGCATGAACATATTGAACAAAGTAAAAGATAGATTTCTTTAAATGATCACTTTTTCATTTTTTTTTCATTTTAGCACTTTTTAATCAAACATTCATTCGCAAAGTTATTAATTATACATACACCGAGGTGTCTTTATAATAATTGTCAGTTTTAAAGATATTTGTCCATTGAAAACATCGTAGAAGAATTCACTAGAAATTATACCCTAGAAGGAAACCAAACTATTGATTCTAATGCATCAAAGAATAATTTCTATGAATGCAGTCTTTTGATAAATTTTTACACCTTGCATATAAAACATTTTTCTTCAACATGGCCAAAAGCGAAATTTAATAGAACCTCCACAGTTGCCTTTTATAAGGATTTTAGGATTTTATATGAAAATCTTCAAAATGATGTTAATAGGCTAAAAAATTATTCTACCCTTCGACATGAATCTTTTAAGTTTTTCCAAAGTTCGAAACGATTCAATAGTTGTAAGCATAAAATCTGAGAAGTGGATTTAAAAGTAAAATTATAAAGAACAACAAAAGAAAAACTATTACAGAGATAAGAAGAAAAATCAAGTACCAGACAAGAATCAGTAATATTAAAAGATATTAATATAATATTAAAAGTAGCTTCAAAACAACAGTATGATTAACAGTATCAAAGCTGATGATTAAGACTACTATTGTCACTAGAGAGAATGATATCATTTTGTATTTTGAGTAAAGAGGTTTCAATACTGTAAGCATGTATTAAACCAGATTGAGATACAGGAAGCGTGTTAGAGTTTAAAGAAACTGATAATAATTGATTATAAACGACTTTTTCTATTGTTTTAGAGATGAAAGTTCTTTCGCTCACTCTTTCTATCATTCATTCGTTTATTCGTTCATTTATTTATTCTATTCGTTCATTCATTCCTATTCATTCGTTCGTTCGTTCATTCGTTAGTTTGTTCGTTCGTTTACTCATTCCTTCTTTTACATTTCAGTCATTCAATTGAACTGCAATTATTTCTTTCCACTATTTTTTGTTTGGATTATTGTTATTATTATTTGTTTATTATTATTATTATCATCATCATTGTTAATACTATTCTTCTTGTTTCTATTCTTATATCCTCACCACTCTACATACATACGGCTGGCTCAGCTCTGCATCATGGCCGCGCTATATCAAGAAATTAAAATGAAATGAAAATATATACGTGGTTGGCTCAGGTCTACATCATAGTCGCACCGTATCAAAATACTAAAGAAAATAAAAATATACATATGGCTGGTTCAGCTCTGTATCAATACCGCGCAACTCTACGTCGCATATACGGCCTGCTCAATCCTACATCCCTACATCATAGTCACGCCGTCCCATTATATGTATATACGGCTGACTCAGCTCTGCATCAAAGCCAAGCCATCTTGTTAATATTCTGATTTTTCTGTTGGTGATTGTTTTTCATTTTAGAATATGCATTTATCATCTTGTATATATAGAATATGTATAGAATATCATTTAGAATTTTGTCATAGCTAGCCTTCGTTTGATATTTACAACCTGAGGTTATCAGACTTTCAAGATAATTGAAGCTGTTGACTTGTTTCACCTGTTTAAATTTTATGATTATGGAGCAGATCGGGAGATTTTGCTTTTACTGATAAGCCCGCATTTTTTTATGTTAATTTGAAAGCTTTTTCTTTTACTTTTAAAAACTAGCTTAGAAACAATAGTTTTCAGTTTTTTCATTGAATTTGCTATAAGAGCTCTATCATCAGCATATCTTACATCTTTGTATACTCGCCTTTAATGAATAATCCATTTTTCATGATGATTTCACTAAAAAGATTGTACAATGTACATATCTGGAGTGAATACACAGCCTTGCCTAACACTTTTCTTAATTTTTACATAACTAGTTCAATTGTTATAAACTTACATCGCAGCTCTTTAGTCCCAATAGTAGTTTTTGATATTTCTTGCGTGTTTAGAAACATCAAAAAATCGGCATTAGTGCAAGCATTTTATTCTTGTTTTTTTTTTAAATTAGTTTATTTTGTTAAATTGCTGTTTTTTTGTTTAACTATTTGTTTTGGTTGCGCATATGAAAGGAGAAAGCGGGATATGGGGTCGAAATTCGGGACTGGCCCACCCTATTCATGACGATTGGCTAAATTGCACCACCTCTACACCATAACTTGTACCTATGCTCCAAGAAAAATGAGTTACTCTTATGTTTTGAAAATATTTTCAGGTCTCGAGAAACTCGAGAAATCACAAAAGGTTTGACAGAATGAAATTTATTTCAACGAGCTACGAGTTTTAAATTATTTTCCAAAAAAAAACACTCAATCTAATAGCACAGAAACTTATATCATCGAATACTAAAATGTACAATTATTTTACACAATAATCCGTTCGATCACTTAAATTTTTGTATTTTAGGTAAAAAAATGTAATAAAACCGATGAGACTTATAAAAATAAATGTAATTGTCAGTTATTTAAGATTCAAGGTTCCAAAGCAGAAGTGTAGTTCCCACTAGATTTTAGACTGTCTTTAACTGACCTTCTGGGCACAGCTGTGTGCGAGCTCACTATAGAAAATAAATTATAATTTTTTTTTAAATTTAGTTGAAAAACAATTTGCCAACTTTTTTTTAATTCTTTATTAGGCTTTTCTTGGGTCTAGATGAATCAACAGCGTATATGAATAAATTCTAAAACGACACATCACACACGAAGCATGCGATGGTCGAGGAATTTTCTTTATCATATTCGAGCCTGATGACTGCACATATTCGAGCCTGATGACTGCACACACAGCAAAACAGAACCGTGTGATCAGTTAAGTTTATCTTTCCAAAAAAATTTCTTCAAAAAAAGTTTTAATTCATTAGTTAGATTGGAAGCCTGAATTAAAGTGATTATTTAGAAAAAAAACGTTACTATGAATTTTAAAGACTTAAAAAAATTGTTTTTTAATTTCTTATATTGTTACATGTTTTTCCAATAATAGGTTAAATAGCAAAATCATTACTATATCAGCATTATTTTTATACATAAAAAATACTTACCAGATGAATCTCTTCCTGTGAACCAATTAATTTTTAAATGCCAAAATGAATAAATATTTGTTTGCGTGAGTTAAATCAATCAATCAATCACACAATCAATCAATCAATTAATCAATCAATAAGCTTGTAAAGCGCTATTTCTGCAAAATGTTCAACAGCGCTCCTCAATGAATTTTGCAAACAGATGGGTCTTGAGATCCGCTCTGAACTTCGTTAGTGATGGAGAAATAGTCAGAGAAGTAGGTAGAGAGTTCCAAAGAAAAAGGCTAAAAAAAGCAAAAGCAGATTTAGCAAGAGAGTGTTTAACACGAGTTAAAAAGAAGCGAGAACAAGAATACGATCGCAAACCGGGGCGTTTAAGTTCAACTAATATATCTGATAAGTACTTAGAAAATAATTTATATCGAGACTTGTACATAAATGTAAAAATTTTAAAAATTATTCTATATTTTATAGACAGCCAGTGCGAAAGAACAAGATATGAAGATATTTGAAAAAAAAGGGTCACGAGCAACTAGACGAGCAGCAGAATTAGAAGTTTTACTTAAAAAATAGAGTATAGAATCAAGAAGACCATAGTAAAGCGAGTTACAATGATCAATCCTAGATAAGACTAACAAAGTAACAAAAAGAAGAAAAGTAAGATCATCAAGAAAAGGCAAATTTTTTTATTCTTTTTAGATGAAAGTAAGAAAAATAAAGTAAAAAATCAAACATTTATTTGAAAAAGTATATTAATTCTCTATCATAGACAAGTCAATAAGGTCAATTTTTATCGTGACAATCATGTGCTCTGTTCATATACAACTACGACTCCGATTCAGTAAAGTTTTGCATACATTAATTTTAAAATTATTTGGATAAAATAAATTGACAGCAAATTTAGCCTAACAGGATTTCAGAATATTCTTACGGGTTAATTTTGTTTCGCATACATTAATGTTAAAATAATTTTGATAACATAAATTGACAAAAAATTTAGCCTAATAGGATTTCAGAATATTTTTAGGGGTTAATTTTGTAAAAAAACTGATTCCAATAAGTTGGGTGTATTAATATTATCTATGATATTCTACACTACAGCGTCTGCTTGTTTTCAAATTTTAAAAACTTATATCCTGATGTTGAGTTTCATTGATCAATAAATAGTTTATAATAACTCAATTTAGATATGTAATTAGCTTCAATGATTGAAAAGTTTTAAAGCTCTATATTCACATTCACATTGTACAAGCTTAAAGTAGCACTCCAGCCCATAAACACACGTTCATGATATTTTAAATGTTGTGCGAGCATGGGCAACGTGTGTTTGTCAAGTTTTTGACTATGTACTTAGTTGATGAGAAATAGCGTTGCATGAAGAATAATTAACAACATTCACCTGAAGAAAATGATTTATTAAAATTTGTAAAAATAAGAGATTTTATTAACTGGAACTTTTTATATAATGTATAATCAATAAAGTATAACCAGTTTTTCTAATTCGTGAATAGGCGAATTTCACCAAAACTGATGCCAGAACGATGAGAAAAAGACCAGCCAAAGCAAAAACGATGTACAGGTAAGTAGGTGATTTTTCAATCCTATTTTGATTTTCTAAAACTGCGTTTTGTAAAAAGGGACAAATTTCAAATATAAGATTGAAATTGATTTTAAGAAAAAATATTTTATATAGCTCTGTGCAAATGTGACCAGTTTCCGTGTAATAGTTTATCGGTTGACGATGTTTCTTAAGCAATATTATTTATTATTTGAGTTTTGCAATAATACTACTGCGCAATTTTAAGTTGTTAATTATATAAATTCACTTTGGCAGAAAGAGCCATTGACATTTGTGGAACCATTTTCACATAAACATTTTACAACCATCAGGTTGTTGACGATCTCTGGCACGCACATCATTGTCTCATTGCATCCCCCGTTGTTCGTGCTACAATCTGATTTACAAAATTTGTTAACAACATTAATTCAGTAAATTATTCCTTACATCATTAATTTCTGAAACTTTTCTTTGAGAAATAAAGACAGACAGAAGACAGATGCAATTTTTTCAAAGATTTTTTGATATGATAAGTTAAAAGTTTATAGTATTTAAACTTTATAAAGATAAGAAAACAAGTGGTAAAATGAGAAGCATCAAGTGATCAACTAATAAAAGCATTCAAATTTTAAGACCTGTTATTTTTCAAATGACTGCCTCAAAAATGTCACTCAAACCTCTGTTATCACATAGTGCTCCAGTCCAGCCCAGCGAACAAACACCAGATCGACAATAGGGTTTCTTACTCTCCACTTTATCGTTTATGCAGTAGTTGTATTTTGTCGGCTTGTCATAGACATTCACATCAGGCGAAACTGAAACAAATGTAAAAATTTTAAATATATCTTCGAGAAAGTTTCCTCTTAAATATTTTATATTTAAGAATCACCGTCTGTCAGCAGTACAAGCTCAGATGATGAGCTTCTGCACTTTTCGATGTTCACTTGGTCTTTGAATTTTATTTTTCGTCCACATTGGCATGAATCACTCTTGCGAAACAAATTTTTTGAAAACATTGTTCAACAATTTTTTATAATTTTCAGTTAGAAATTTGAAAGTTAGATTATTGTTTCACATCATTATGTCTAAAAAAAGAATTTTTTAATACGCTAATATTAACTTTAAACACTTGTTTGTTGTTATATATTTAATGTTGTATTCAATTTTTGTTAACATTTTTGCCTGATTAAGCTCAAATTTTGTATAATAACTCATATCGGATAGCAATGAATGAATAAATCAACAGACTATATCAAAAAAGTCAACTCAGTTCGTAAATAGAAAACTAGATAAAATACTTAACGAATTATGAACGAGGTTCCAAAATATTTTTTTGGATATAAGTATTTTGTTAAGATCATTTTGTTTTTATTTTTTGTTTGATATCAATGTACAATTTTGCGTGTTTCAAAAATTTTTTTTTAACTTATTTTACTTACAGTTGTTCCACTGTATGGGAAACCAAAATTTTTGCACTTCTGCAAGCAAAGAGTTTTGCTCAAGAACTGGTCATGCTTATGTTCCAGTTCTAAATACTTGTAGCATCCAACGTCAATTGATTCGCTTGATTTTTCTAATGAAAAAAATTCAATGTTTAAATAACGTTCGAAAAAAATTTATTAAAAAAAGCCCGTAAATTCAAAACTTTCGTAACGATACTACTGGCATATACAGAATAGGTGGCCTTTCCCCCACACGACAATCCCTCCGTACAGTTTTTGTTACATTTGTTGGCACTAACTTCGTTCTCCAGGTTGTTGGCACACGCGCAATATTTACGGTCCTTTTTTCATTAAATAGATTTTTATCAATATTGAACAAGTGATTTTGGAAGAATGGAATATAAAACGTCAGAAAATGATCAAACCTTCATTCCATAAAATAATGAATCGCTACAAAAATCAAAACATGATTCTAATGAAGCAGTTGCCAGATTATCATTAGCATGCATTATTTCGAAACATCCTTTGTAAGTATAATTGTACTGGACTTTGACTTGATGAGAAAAAAAGAAATGGAACCATTATGTTTAACAAAAAGGATTATATTAATAAATCGTTTCTATGTAGGGAGCCGTTATATTTAATCAAACGTGAAATAGTTCATAAATTTAATTCCTTACTTTCAGGCACTTCGATAAATTCTTCATCTGGCGAATAGCATTTAACTCCAGCATTAGCTTCTACACCTGCCCCATTATCAGGTTCTACCTCGATACAAACTGAATCCCCACATCCTCCATTATTCTCGCCGCACTTGTTCACATAGACCTTTGTTGTCGGTTGTGTCAGAGTTTGTGTGGTTGATGTGGTGCCTGGAAAAGCTGCCAGAGTTTGTGTGGTTGGTGTGGTGCCTGGAAAAGCTGCCAGAGTTTGTGTGGTTGGTGTGGATATGAAAAGGCTGGTGTTGTAATAATATTTAGTATCAAGATTCAAGAATTTATTATTGGTCAAAATATAATTTATGATTTCGAGCGTTGAACTCCTATAAAAATTTGATTATTTTCTAACGATATAAAATATTTTTTTAATTTACATTTCAATTATCTGATATCTTCTAAACATTTTATTAAATTTTCGAACATTTTTTAACATATGTTGGATAATCATCAACTTGATTACATAAATTAATATTCCATTAAATTAATATATTACCCATATTTTCATTACATAATTCTCCACTCCAGCCAGGCAAGCAAACACGAGGCTTGCAGTAATCTTTCTTACATTCTTTCTCGTCATTCAAACAGTATTGGTAGATTGTTGATTTGTTGTACATGTCTGTGTCTATTGAAACTGAAATTTTAAATGATATCAATATTAGTTATTATAAGTTGGCATTTTTTTGAACGCGACTACTAGCGAAAACAGGTTAAGTTGAAAATAATAAAGTATTACGTATCATAAATTTTCAGTTTTAGCTAGATTAGATTTCTTGCGCTCTTAACTTTAATAACATTGGATTGGAAATGTATGCTGATTTAGCATGATTTCAAACAAATTTATTGAATAGATTACAATAATTAAATGATTCTATCTTGTGTGTATGAGCGTTTGTTTGTGTGTTTGTGTTATGTGTGTGTATATGTGGGCATATGTGTGTATGAATGTATACAAGTGTATATAAAAGTACCAACCATCAAAAACCAAGAACATATCATTAAAGCAGGAATCCATGGCTATTTGACTATCAAACTCTATCTTGTTTCCACATTGGCAAGATTTCTATGGATAAAATTTTCTAGCAATTTTTGGCGAAATAAATTTGCATATAACTTTAACAAGTTTTTGAATGAAAATCACTTCGGAATCTTGAAATAAAAGAAAAATATGTGTGATTTTTAAAGGTCAACAACTTATTACCTCGTTACTTTTCTTTCTTATGACATACTTGAACATTAAGTTGTAGCATTCATTTACACAGCCGATTTCGCTGGAAACTGAAATACCGTGTTTAATATTTACAATTTTGAAACAACCAACAACAGCATATTCGTTTCCTGTATTTTTGAGTTCAAAAATATTGTGAGAAAAATTATTTTTCATGTAAAAAACAAGCAATGTAAAATCAATGTAAGGTCAATGTAAAATTCTTCTACTCTCGTGAAACTTTTTTTAATAAATTTTCAACTCACTCGGCAAACAAAAATATCTTCAACTCATTTTTTAAAAATAAACAAATATGCAAAAGAACAAACAAAAGCACCAGGAATAAATCCAACAAGTAAAATTAAAACATCGGTGCATGGGAGCAGTGGTGGATCTAGAATAGTCTAAAAAATTGTTGACAACCGAGAGAAATTTTAAAGTAAGAGGGAGAGATTTTGAAAGTTTTTAAAAATTACTTGAAAACCGTAAATGGAATGTTTAAACAAAAAATTTATGACCTGAAAGGTTGAAAATTTGTTTCGAAAATTTTTCAACCTAAAACGGGAAACCAACATCTTGATGAGACGATGGGGCCAACTTTTCTGGTAATTTGGTTAAAACTTTACTTACCTTTCACTTAGGGCTAATAATGTCAAATTTTTCTTCAAAAACACTTTTTCTCCGTTAAAACAACGACTATTACTCACTTTCAACACAAATAACACTCATGGCGGGGCTTAGATCCACCTCTACATGCGTTCTATGAACACGATTGCGTTGAGTTATGCAAATAGAAAAAAAGGAACTGATTATCAGGTTATCTCAAAGTATTTGTTCATAGTTTAAATAACATTCAGCTGAATGGTGTTCGATATTATCAATCTGAAGTAAAATTAACTTTCGTAAACAGCAAATGTAAAGACTCCACCACATAGGAAGCCGTTTAAACAAGCAAAACATTCATTGGATTGAACAAGTTTGTCTTCGGCTGCAAGTTCGCTCGAACAGAAACACATATTCTCCTGATTTCGTTGAAAGTTGAATCTTTAATTAATTCTCCATCATAAACTTGGTAACTTAGAGTTGAACCTTTCCATGCCTGGTTAAGATGCCTGATGCTACTCTGGCGACGACCAGGTTCGAATTCAATGCTAATCACATGCAATGTATTGGACGAGCAGATTCCTATGCATTTTTTGTTATTTTAAATGTCACAAAATTACAAAAATTGTAGGAAATAATTTGAAAATTAAATTTGTCCAAGCGATTAACTGACTTTTATCGCGTAGTACTTTTTATTCTTATCGCACCACAGGAGGCACCATTCTACACCAACCGCATACATACTGTTTGACTTGGGCATCCGAGAATAACAGCCTTTGTATTTTCGATACTTCAATAGTGTCTGGTTCGCACCTTAATGAATAAAACTAATATTCGGGAACAAATAATGAAGATATATTTCAGGAATGAAATACAATATGAAACTTACGGACACCACTTTTTAAATAATTTTTGCCGATACTTTTGACGAAAATAAAGTCTTATCGAGAAGATAAAATGTTCTCGTGTTATATTTGATCCTATTGTGAAGTTCTTTTTTCGATAATATTTTCAAAATGAGAATTTGATTGAGAATTGAAATAACTAAAAATCAGTTTGTGGCTTTTTAGCTTGCAAAAATAAAACTCACTGAAACAATGATGGTTTTTTGATTGAAGATTTTAAGAGTGTTGTAACCTTTTAACACATTTTGATTATCACTATGCAATACACATTTATAAATTTTGGATGATTGAAGTAAAGCGAGTTAGTTCGCGTAGAATAAAATTTTTTGTTTAAAATTAAGAAAAAATGTTGATAATTTAATTATAAAATAAAATAATCAAGCCGGCTTGAGATAAATCAACTCACTTTTAGTTTTTGAACAGGGGAAATCTAGAAGAACAATAGAAAGTACTAAAAATATTTTTTTTGAAAATGTCATTTCCGATATTTAGTTAAATAATATTTACTAAATACTTTGTTTATGAGATCATTTTATTTAAATATGCCCTTTGTGTTATTTATATAAAGTTTTGTTAGAATATTTATTTATAAACTGTAGACTCTTTTACGTATTTTTTGTTTATAAGCTGACGTATCAAAAACAGACAACGAAATTTCGCAGAACATTTTTACCATAAAATTAAATAAATGAAATAGTTATATGGATTGGAACTTAAGCAAAATATAGAAAATTGCACATCAGAATTTTTATATTCTTGCCTTATTTCATTCATGGCAGAATAATAATAATAATATAAAAACAAAATTAAAGTGGTTCAGTGGACTAGCATCTGTGTAAAAGAACCTCTACAAAATAAATGTCCTAGTATCCTAGCTCTCCTAGCGTGATTTTAAAATTGTTGATTGAATCCACCGAGTCAGTTTCATCGCTCAGCTCGTTCCAGGCGTTTAGCACCATGCTGCTGAAGAGTCTTTGCTTTGTTGGGATTTCTGTCTTCTTGAACTTGCATCTATGATCTCTTAATCCTTTCCTTTTTTCTAGTTAAAATAACCTGATTTGTTTTGTTACTCAATTATATCAATATTTAAAGTGTATTTTAGGGATTTCAGTCTGTGAGCATGCGTGGTTCTGCACGTTAAATACATTGTATGTAGTTAGTGGGAGTCTATTTGAAGTCGAACCCAGTCAGCGCCAGAGTAGCGCCAGGCATCTTAATCTTTGCGACATCGCGTGTCTAATGAAAAAGTTGAACTTGATGTTATCAAGATTTTGATGAATAATTAATTGAAAATTCACACTTAACGAAAACAGGGTGGAAGTGGCTGTCACTTTGCGAACAATCTTGCTTTCGAAGTAGTGCATTCCAGTAGAAGTTCAGATGTGTTGGAGACTCTACTTTTGCTGTTCATCAAAGTTACTCTTACTTTAGATTGGTAACATCAGACGTCATCAGCTAATTATAATTTAAACTATGAAGAATAATTTTGAGATATGTTCTTCATATTTCATGAAGTAACTAGATAAACAATTTTTGCCTTTTTTCTGTTTGTTTAAAATTCTTGTTCTTTTATTGATTGAGTTAACGACTGACAAATAAAAATAGCTTCATACAAGTGGAAGAATTTTACTTCAACAAGTTTCTTGTTCGTTGCTTAAAACAAATGCACATTTTGTCATGTGATTTTAGGAAAAATTATTTTCTACTCGATTTTTTTAACACAAAAATAAAGAAAACTCTGTTGCAAATGTTGGATGTTTTTAAAGTTGCTAGATAAGACTACGTGTTTCATTATTACATTGACAAATCTCAAAGATATTCAAGACGAACACTGACATTATTGTTTGCGTTACTCTTTAGATTTTAATTCTCAGTTTTAAGTTTTGTTATTTAATTAAAATATATTTAATTGTAATCAAACAATAAAAATAATATCAACAATAATGGGTGTGTGATGGTGATGGCGATGATGAAATAATCTGATATATTAGACTATTAAGAAATAATTTGTTATATTAAGCACTAAAAAATAATATGTTATATTAAGCAATAATATTTTAACGAATTGGTAAAAATTCAAAATAAATAATTTATTGTATCTTAATCATCATAATCTTTCTTTCTCAGTTTCACATAAAATTGTACGTAACTAATCGCGAAATGAATTCATCTCAAAAAATTCACCCTAAAAAATGCCGAGCTGACATACGATACATCTTTTCTCATCGCAGCCACTGTAATACCAGTAAAGATCTGGATCTACGTAGATGCAGCCTGTATAATTGATATCGTTTAGCCATTATTAAAGAATAATAATAAAAAAAAAACAAAAAAAAAAAAAACAATCAATCTACCAATTTCATAACTGTGGTCACCATCATCATCCACTTTGTTGGCCTTATAATCTTCACTTTAATATATATCACATATATCATATATCATAACTTTATATTATCTCATGTATCTATCACATACATCATAACTTTATATTATCTCATATATCACATATATCATAACTTTATATTATCTCAACGTTTCATTTTGTCATCAATGATATCATGTCTGTCACTTTAACCAATTAACGATAGGTTTTCGTATCATCATTTTATTTTTCATCATTTGTTTTATCATTTCATCTGTTATCATTCGCATTATCATCATCGTTCATTTCCCCAAAACGTCTACTCATTTCATATTATAAATTTTATAGGAATCGTCGTATTTCAGTTTCATAATCCAACACACACACACACACACGCACACACACGCACGCACACGCACGCACACACGCACAAACTGTCGGAAGATTTTATGAGATTCTTCTTCAGCCAGTTTTCATAAACAACCGTCATGGGATCATACTCTTTGCACGGCACGGCACGGCATTGCTCCTCTTCACTGTCTTTTGGATGAAAATTTTTAACATCAAGCACTGTCAATAACACAAGAAAGCTGTTCTAAAAATATTTAAAAATCATTTTATACAAAGAATAATCATTTGCCAATATTTATAAAGACATTTCCATTGTAAAGGTTTACCGTTGCGTATTCTAATTTAGAAAAAAGATTTTTAAACAAAGTTTAAACCGGACAACTCTGGTGTCACTCAAGCTCCGAATGAAAAGATTTCCAGATTGTGAGATGCATTTCAAAGTGTTCGATACGTGCGTGGTGTGTATGGAGATAAAATACTATTAAACATTTTGTTACTGATTTTCATTTACGGTTTTTAGCTAAAATTTGCAGACTTCGATTTGAAATAGCCAGAGGCGAAGACATAGTAGGAGAATAGGTAGGGCTGAAGCTTGTTGGTTATTTTTACTGTCTAAATTTTTTTTAATTATATCCAGAAGAGTTTTGTTGTCGGTAAATAATTATTAAAGTAAAATTTCAAAGATTTACAGACAATGGAACTCAAAATTTTGATATATAATGTAAACTGTTGAATTCATAAGAGCAGTTTGAATAATAAATACAAAATTATCGATAAAATAGTTAATAAAATTGTACTGCATTTCAACTTCCAATTTTACCAAACATTTTTATTTGTTTTTTTCATTCATTCATTCAATAATAATTAATTATTCAGTTGTACGTACGCTTATGGATCGATCCTCTATTTTTGTTCATTTGTTGGTTCATTCATTCGTTTGTTTGTACGTTCTCTAATTTTTTCGTTTGTTCATTAGTTGGTTCATTTATTTGTTTGTTTGTATTAGTATGTTTTCTAATTTGTTTGTTCGTTCAGTTGTCAATTCAGTAAAAAAAAGTCATTTACTCCTTAGCTCATTCATTCTTTCAACCGTTCTAGTTACCTCAAACAGATACCATGACTATAATAATGCATCCAAAGCTCAAAATGAATTTAATAGAAACCAATCAAAGTACTATATAAAGGACTCTGAAAATAAGTTTTAAACATTTCTTAGAAAAATTACTTATAAAAAGAGTTCTGGCAAAATTATGTGAACAATTTATCGGCGAAACATTGTAAGAAAAAATTTACCCAAAATCGAGCCAAGATATTTCCGGAGAGCCAATGTATCGTCGGGACTTTCATTGACTACTGAATGGAAGTTCGGTGCCATGTTTTTGCACGTCTCTCTGGCAGTGTGCCAAGAGGTAGTTAAGTTAACAAAGGATAAGCAAGATTTCATTGCCGGTACGTAGGTCGAATCAATCGGACAGTCTGGTATGGTTTTAAATGATTGGTTGGTTATGGTTAATTGATTAATTGAGATGTTTAGTCGGTGGTTTGTTTGATGATTTGCAACTAATGAAAGTTTCTTTTTTAATTTTTAACAGAAAAAAAACCATAATTTTTTTTAGAAATTGTTGTTTAAAAAAATGGAAAAAACATGCCAACATACCTTCAACGACACGGAACCTTACAAAACTCGCAGGGGCAGACTTATTAACCCCAATGACAAACCCTCCCGCAACCTTACACTCCCCATTACCGCCATTATACTCGAAACCCTTACATGCAGACAATTGCTCCGACAAGCACAATACCGAGCATAATTTACTCGACTCGATACCGAATACCGACTTGTTGCTGGCCCAACCGTTTATATAAGTGTACCTCGCATCTATTACATCAGGTTCAGTGTTGCTGGCTTTGCTGAATAGTAACTGTCTCTTTCTCTCTCTCTCTCTCTCTCCCTCTCACCTATTTCTCTCTCTCTCTCTCACTCATTCTCCGTCTTTTTTTCTACCTTTTTCTCGCGCTTAATCTATCATTTTCTTTATATGTCTTTCTTTTTGAAAATTTTCTCTCATTCTGTTTTTCCTTCTTCTTTGTTAAATTTCGTTTTCTTTCAATCTGTCATCTTCCCTCTTTCCTTCTATAATAATTTTTATTTTAAATATTTCATGTATTTCAATGAAACCATTATGAATAAAATGATGAACTCTCTTTTTTTTCGTTTTTGAGATATTTTTTGTTAAATTATAATGAATTATATTAATTAAAAGTTATTAATTTAATATTGATTTGAATTCGAAATTTGTTCAAACGTTAACAATGTAACAGGAAGCAATGCATCGCGTTACCAACTAATTTACCAATGCTGGGATTGTCATGATCAAAGATAAAAATAACTAAAAATACCACCAAACAACTAACCAACCAACGTAAGAAACCTTACAAACAACCAACCAACTAACCAACCAAACAACCAACCAAACAACTAACCAACCAACCAAACAACTAACCAACCAAACAATCAACCAAACAACTAACTAACCAAACAACCAAACAACTAACCAACCAATCAACCAATCAACCAAACAACCAACCAAACAACTTACCAACCAAACAACTAGCCAAACAACTAACCAAACAACCAACCAAACAACTTATCAACCAAACAACCAGCCAAACAACTAACCAAACAACCAACCAAACAACTAAGCAACCAACGTAACAAACACTACGGATTAATTAAATCGATTTCACAGAAATGCGAGCGCAACGAGGTGCAATAAGCATCAAACCATCCAAAGAGATGGTTGTTCTGGAGGCAATCAAGACCGGTTCCGGGAGGATATGGAGAGCCTGGGTACCAAAAAAAATTCTCTACGACTCTGGTCTGCCCTTTTTTTGAGTAATAGTAATATATTCAATCAATCATTCAATCAATCAATTAACCAACCGACCAATCAATCAATTAACCAACCAATCATTCAATCAATCAATCATTCAATAAATCATTCAATCAATCAATTAATGATCCTCATTTGTCCATCAGGGGACCGTTGATGTCGATGGTGTACATCTAGGCATGCTTTTTACATTTTAATTTTTATTTCTTTTAATATATTATACTGCAATAATAAATACAAAATAATATATATTATTCTATTATTATTATTAGTAGTAGTAGTAGTATTTAGTAGTTAGTAGTAGTAGCAGCAGTGGTTAGTAGTAGTTAGTAAAAGTTGCAGTAGTAGTAGTAGTAGTAGTAGTAGTAGTAGTAGTAGTAGTAGTGGTGGTGGTGGTGGTGGTGGTGGTGGTGGTGGCGATAGTGGCAGTATTTAAAAAATTATTCTTTCCAGTTCTCTCTTATGTTTTTTTCAGGCATGAAAAACAACCACACAACGCATTGCATGCACAGTGCACACATTCATTGCAGATGTACAGGCAGTCACACACGCATGTACACACCACACAAACACCACACATGCACACACACACACACACACACAAACCAATCTGTGTAGCACAAATCTGGTTAATATTTTAGCTCCTCCCTTCCTGTCGAATATCTTGATCCTCCACTGTTTGTATGTGATATGCGTGCGTGGGTCTCTTGGGGTTAGAACCCGGTCATTGCGACAGCAGTGCCAGAAACCTTAACCATTACACTATCGCACCGCCAATCATCCTGAAACTGTAAAGTTTTTCGCTACTCACCTGGATATGGTTTCCAGAAAAATGACCATATGCCGTTGATCTTTGCCTGGTTGCCAGCCATCCAATACGATCCAATGGCTATAGCATTTAAAATATTGTGTGTGTGTGTGTGCGTGTGTTTGTTTGCGTGTGTGCGCGTGTGTACGTGTGTGCGTGATTGCTTGTTAATCTACAACGAACTTAGTTGCCTGCAACGCTTATCAAAGTCCACAATTTTCTATTAATCAGTGGTAATTATTGACTGGGCATGAAAACTGGCAATTTTCAATTTAGCATTTCGCTACTACGTTGAACCATGATATTAAATTTTAAAAAAATACACGTATTCATACGTCATATCATGGATAAAGTTTGTATTCAACTGACGCCGTATCAAATGTAAAGTGAAAGTATTCAAGCGTCCTACATTTGGCAGCTGAGTAGCTGTTGATGACTTTGTTTTCGATGGAATCCTCAATGATCACAAGGTGGGAGTTGAGCAAGCCGTTGCACGAGTCCCTTGAGTTGATCCAGTTTTTCGCTGTGACTTGGAAGCTGTAACACTTGTTGTACTCAACGACATAGTCGAAACCGGCCGGGCAATCTTTTTCTCATTTTGGAAATTTATTTTTCAAGTTTTTAGCTTCATAACAGTGTAGGTAGAGTTAATATTGCTAGTGCAATTATGGTATTATTTTGTCATTACCAATATTGATACTGCTACTTGTGGAAGTATGTTGTTATTACTACCATTAAAATTTTATTTATGACGATACTTTGAAGCGCCTAATTGCTTATTGATACAAAACTGTTTGTTGATTGAGTCGCCACTGTGAATGAGTTGTCCTTCGATTGACTTGAAAGCATTTAAACTATCCACACGCGTTTAACATGAAGATATACATTCATGCATAGGACACGTGTTTATTAAAGGGATTATCATACATTCACTAATTCAAATAACTGCTAATGAAAATAAAGGCGTACAAAAAATGAAACCAAAAAATATTTAAACTTGATCAAAAAAAAGTAAACGAACCATGAGCGAAAAAAGCCAGACATCCTCCAGTCAGTTTGGCAGTCACTCCGTACCAAACATTCATTTTGGGAACACACGAACAAGATCTCGCTGATGTCACGTAGTTGATGCCTCTCAAGTTCATCTTAGTCGCTCTCTTTTTTCCGTTTTAAAACAAATTTTCAAAATTAAAAAACTCTTATTTATGGCTTAGTTATAGCAAATTTTGACAGAACTGACCCAGCATTTGTTGAGGCAGTCGCCAACGGAATTAGCTCCCAGCTGAATTGTGAAATTCATAGCGTCATCGAAGCAAACATTCGTTATTTTACTATTGGCAGCAAGGTGACTGTAAGCCCTGACGTACATTATTTCATTTATTTGTAGGATGGATAAAGAAGCGGGAAACAAGATTGGAAATATCACAAGAAGGGAGTTGAGTTTTATCCACATTATCGCGTTTCACTTTTTCTAAATTTTATTTTGAGTAAAATTAATTTTGTTGATTCAAATACAGTATTACACTCAATTGAAAATCTGGTGTTATATTTGAAGGGAATTAGACATGAAAATATATCACATATGATGATCATATGTCATTCATGTATGTCCGAACAAATAAGAAATTCCCTTTTATATTTTTAGTTATACAAACCTTTATATATTCATAGTGTAACAATTTTCTTAGAGATTATGTTGTCCTCGACACTACGAAATAACCTTCAACAAAGGTTTGTAATGGAGTTACCCTCGAAACAATCTTTTACAACAGATTTCCCAACATTAAAAAATGTTCTCAACTTTTCAGACAATGAGCATCAATAAATTTCTTACGTGGTTTTAACTTGAAAAACCAAAAATAGACGTAAAAAGACAATAGTAGACAAATGGACAAAGTAGGCACTGAAGCAGATGTACCTTACTCACAGGATATCTAAAAATTAATTTAAACACGAGGAAAAAGTTTTAAAAAATGTTAACAAAGGAAACAGAACAATGGGTGACTAATGGGTGCCATTTTTTATCTTAATAGCAAAAATGTACCCGAAATTGATCAGCACTAACAAACGAACAAAAGGGTAAGATACGAACAAAACTTTGAATAGATGAAATCAAGTAAATGAAAATAATTTAACGACAGAACACGGTGCCGACATGCGAAAACACACGCATTGCTGGAATGTTGTCATTACAAGACTGTCTCATGAAAAGTTGCATATCAATGATGATTATATACTGGTTCAAATGCCTTCGTGGTACTTTGACGTTTCAAAATATTTTGTGTCGTGCTATCAATCGAAAACACGCAGAATGACGTAACGAAAAAGTTTGCAAAAGCCCCTACAGGTGCTAACTTATTAAGACCAAGATGTAGCTCTTCTCCTTCCTCGTGCCTTATCCTTTCAGGACATTGGCGATCATCGACCTCCACAAAAACTGATCTTTAACACTTTGTAGTAGTTGAAATGTGGTGATATTCAACAGGTGACACAAGGACTTCACGAATGTTATTCGTTGTTGACCGCGATCTCTTCTCTCGGCAATCTTTCCAATGGTTGTTAGATTTTCCATTCTTTCCTTCCGCATGATGTGACCAAAAAACTTTAAAATTACGAAATGAAATATAACTCATGCTTGCTTATTTTGCAGAAAACAAAATTTTTCAAATAAAACCTCCTCTTACCAAACCTCTTTTATAATTATCAATTTTACTCAAAATGTTTTAGAATTCGGGGAGAAAAATATGAAGACAAACAAACACCGACTCATGATCAGTTGAATGACATTTTATTGACTTTACGTCTTGAGAAATTTAGTTTGACATATTTTGTTTTTTCGTTTGAAATCATTTTATTTTTCATAATTACACAACCACATCAAGCCAAAAGTTAAAATAACTTCTAAATTTTTCCGTAAATACAATTTTTCGAAATAATAAAGAAAAACGTTCGAGAATCAGATTGAAAATTATAAATAAATATTTTAATGAAAAAAAAACAACAAAATATATAAACAATGAACTTATTGAAAATATAATCAACTATAATAACAAATGCAGATTTCAGCGTAGATGATAATTTATGCACATAAATTATCTATTTAGCTTTTCCCTGATTGGCTACTTTATCGATGGCGGCCTTGACCTCTTCATCGGAAGCCAGGTAGTAGTGCGTGATTGGCTGGAGATCAGCATTCAGTTCGTACACAAGAGGGATGCCTGAAAAAGTGATTGGTTCGTTTGTATCTATAGAATGGAAGGCTGGGACCATTGTGAGTGCAAGTGAATGAGGAACTTATTGGCACGATGAAATTATTGGTTGCCATTCTTTATCAACATCGTTCTCTACATCATCATCACAATCTTCATCATCATCACAATCTTCATCATCACCACAATCTCCATCATCATCTTCTTCCTCTTCCCTACTAACCAGTCGGTATATTGAGAGCCATGATCTGTTCGTCGGTCATATTGTCCAAGTATTTCACCAGGGCCCTCAAACTGTTACCATGGGCCGCAATGATGACCTTTTGACCTTTCTAATTAACATAATTTATTTATCCATTTCGACCCTTTTACCATTCTAATGAGTCATCACAAATATGAAAAAATAGATTAATAAATAGCAAAGGAAATAAAGAACTATAAAAAAAACCTTTAAAAAAACCTTAAAGCAATTCAAGTATTTTTGAAAAATCCTTCAAATACCATTTTAACTTTAACAAAAACTTTAAATGAACCATAAAACAATTCAGAAAACAACTTTTAAAAAACAACAGAGAGGAATCACGAAGGATGTTCCTCAAAAAAAAAACCTTAAATAACTTTAAATAGAAAAAACACATGCTTTGAACTTTTCAACGTCTAAACGAATCGTCACAAAACTCAGAGAGAGGAAAAATGTAACTCCAAAGAAACTTTAAAAACCTTGAAAAAAACCCTGAAGAAACACTAAAAAATTTAAAAAAAAGAACCCTTGTAAAACCATCTAACCTTAATCTCAGGAACGATAATATCATGCCAATATGGAAGTGCCCTGGCGACCGTATCCTTCAGACATTCTGTTCTTGGTATGAGGTTTGTGTCGACGTACTGTTAGGCCATAGTTAGGGAAATTAACTAATTAATTAATTAGTGAGTATGATCAATTAGGAATTGGATGCAGTCTAATTATGCAGATGCAGACTAATTAAGTCACAATCGACTTAATCAGCTTATTCCTTTCCTTCTATTCTCTTAATTAGCAATTAATTAAAAGACAAACTGTCAATTAGTAATAGTGATTAATTAATTAGGGTCGGTGGGTAATTAATTCACTAATTAGTTATTATGATTAAAAGGGTTTTTTAGGTGTAATTAATTAATTAAATAGAGGATTACTACTAACCACTACACCACCACCAACCACCATCATCATCATCATAACAACATCATCATTAGTAGCATCATCATCATAACAAAATCATCATCATAACACCATCATCATAATCATCAACATCAACATCATCGCCCCAACCTTATATTTGCAATCTTTGCCGGGCCAGTATGGGCTGGTCTTATCGACAGGCGGGGGGGGAACATCATACGACCGGCGCCAAATTTTCACCTGATGACCAAAATTATGAATATTATTATATAATCATATTTTAATATAATTATAATTTTCATATTAATACCCGTTATTAGTAGTAACCGAATACAGCAACAATTCAGGCAACGCACAACATCAACAAACAACAACACGCAACATCAACAAATAACAATATGCAACATCAACAAACAACAACAGACAACATTAACTAATATCGTGGAAAAGCCAACAAAACCCCAAAGCCAAAAATACCCTACAACCATACAACAAATTGGACAACCCCAAAGCCAACCACAACCATATACTCACAAAGCTAATAACTACAACAAACACAAATACCACACAAAAAAGGCAATACAAACAATAAAAACTACACAAAAAAACCTGATCTTCTCCATGCTTAGCAGCAGTTTCTGACTTATTCAGCCCCTGCAGGGCTCCGTACATCCTCTCGTTCAGCCTCCAATGCTTGTGCACGGGGATCCAATGAAGGTCGAGGCCATCCTGAATGTAGAATAGGGTCTTGATGGCACGCTTCAGGACGCTCGTGAATGCAACATCGAAGGTGAAGCCCTTCTCTTTCAAGCGCTGTTCGTTGGGGATTAGGTAAATGAATGTTTTGATCAGTAAATAGCAGTGATGAATGTAATAAATTAACAAATTAGTCCTAAGAGATCAATAAACACATTTTTGGATGTAAGATGAAATAAAAATACTAAAATGCACATTAAGATCTTATGAGTGAAATGACAAAATGGCTGACCTGTGCAGCCCTCTTGGCTTCCACGACTCCACAATCAGCAAGGTCAGCATCGAACCAGCCACAAAATCTGTTCTCAGCATTCCAGGCAGACTCCCCGTGCCTCACCATCACCACCTTGTACGTCGCCATTTTAGTTAAGACTGATATTCGCTTCATGTTCAAAATACAAAGTTTTAGTTATAATATTTAAAAAAATGTTGGTAAATTTAGAATTTAGATTGACTTGATTTGAGGTGAAGTCTATCTAGGACATCTACGTGTAAAGTAGTGAAAATTTTTCTAAGTAGTCTGTAGTATAACACTAATCCAGTGAAACAAACATTCAGATAACTTTAAAAAACTTAAGCTCATTTAGTAAATAACTATTGGAACAATCCTAGTATAGAAACTCAAACACAAAATGCCTGACATTAGTAAATGTCACTAGCGTATCGTTAAGTTTAATTAAAAAACGTAAATGATATATAATAGAAAACCAATGTATATTCAATATCAGCTGCTAAGAAATCCATGTATTCCTCGCATTTAAACTCCATTTTCACGAAAGAAAATCCACACAAATATGAATAATTATTAATTAAAAATAAATTTAATTAAAGGATTGAAATAAAATGAAAAAAATTGAATAATTTGAAATTCAAACAAACCTCTGAAATTCTAACTGAAATCTGCCTATAACCGTAAAGACCTTGATTCTTGTAAGGGCATGGTCGTTTAAAATTTAATGTAATGTAAGATTTTTCATTAATTTCTGTGTTTCTTACTTTTTCATACAAAGTAAAAATTATTTAATACAAATTTTGAATATAAAAATAAATCTTTTTTAAGGAATTTTGTGAAAAGTTCCACCCTATTAGTGTAATTTGATGTGAACTAAACAAATTAAGCGCATGAGTTAATTTATGTTATTTTGCATTTTAAATTCATTTTTAAATTTAATTTTTTTAAAAGTGAACTGTTGCAAATCGTTTAACTTTTTCTTTGAATTTCCGAATTTTCTAATTTTGAAATGTTTAAATTAAAATTTCTACGTTTAAAATGACCTGTCTGGGTTTATATTGCGGTAGGTTGCTACTGGGAAATGGGACTTTGTCAGAATGCGGGGTGGGTTTTTTTTCCTATTTCATTTTTTTTTTAAATTTCTTAATTAATTTTATTTTTATTTAATTAATAACTTCATGAAGTTATTGAGTATTTTTAATTTAATTTTAATTTAGTAAATATTATTTAATAAAGTAACTGTTAAAAGTTAACATTGCTAAGCAAAGCTTTTTTGACTAGATTTGAGTTTTAATTATTTTTTTAATTTTTATTATTTTTAATAATTTTAATAATGAATTATTAATTAAGGTGAATAAATTACTTTGTAGGCGTGTCCATCTGGTTCTAGAGTGAATGCCAGTAGTGGCATATGCCAGGAATGTACAAACATCCTATCAGACTATGATTGGTTCTATCTATTGTTCATGGCTCTATTACCTCTACTATCCAATTATTTTTTCATAGATGTCACCAGTAAGAACAGGTTTGAATGTGATCAGTAAGAACATGTTTGAATGTGATCAGTAAGAACATGTTTGAATGTGATCAGTAAGAACATGTTGGAATGTGATCAGTAAGAACATGTTTGAATGGGATCAGTAAGAACAGTTTTCAATGCGATCAGTAAGAACAGTTTTAAATGATCAACATGTGTATGACTAAAGGATCTTGGTGTATTCATGCCAAACGTATACCTGTTTTGTATACATCTCAGAAATACCAGATGGAAATAAAAGATTATATTTAATATTGTGACTTTTTTGGCTTTAATTTGTGAATCATTATTGAAGTTATTTGCTGATTTGGATGTTTTTTAAAATACAAAATTAAATAATAAAATAATAAATAAATTCCATTACATAACATGGTTATCTCAAATGACGTTATAACTTTTTATTTAACATTTTTTAGCTGCAAAAATGTCACATTACACATATCTGCAACAATTGAAGCTGCCATCTCATTGGTCATCACCATTCTGTCATTTCAACCTATAGGGACGTTCACAATTAAGTCAGACAGGAATTAATAAAGCAATTTATTTATAAATGATTGGTTTTTAAATTTGTAATTCAATTTCATTTGTTTCATCATTCTTCTTATTAACTTTTTACAAAGTTAAATGTATTTAACAAATTTAAAACCACTAATTAGAATCAAATCATGAATATTTAAATCCTCGTTAACATAAATTAACCTGACGTCACTTAAATTAAACCAGGTCATGTGAGAGCACGAGACTTTCTGATTGGTACACCATTTTATATAACCCCTCCCCTGATTTCATCAACACCATTCACTGCACACAACAAGCTGTCTATCCGTTGTAAGCATGAATTTTATTGGAACAATTTGAATCCATGATTCTAGTATATGTATTTGATGTTTTGTATGAAGAACCTCAGAGGTGCTTGAACGTTATTGGTGTTATTTATAAGATGCTTGATTCCTATCGGCTGTAATTTATACAGTGCCTAAATTTGATAGTTTGCAATTTATAATGAACTTGATTGTTACTGGCTGGGATTGATGAAATGTTTGAATGTTACTGGTTGTAAATAAAACTAGCCATTATCGTATTTGGCATGACTCAATTGTCAAATTCATTATCACCCTCATACTCTTCATATTTTTTCTTCTTATCATCAGGTCATTATTTTCATCTTCATCATTGTCTTAATCAAAATTTATCACTTTTCTCACTTGAATCATCTTCATTCATCACACCATTCATCCCGTCATCATCTTCATCATCATCTACCCCATCATCTTCTCCATCATCTTCATCACCACATGACATCCAGGTACTCCATGGTCTTCTTAATGTACCTACTCAGCCTGGTAACGATGCTTCTACTACGAAGCACCATCTCAAAAATCCTCCCGCGAATTTTTCACTGCCTACAATGCAGACGAAAAAGTCATCATAGCAGCGACAGCAAGGACAACAGTAGTAGCTGCTGCTTTAGCTGCAAGGACAACAGTAGTAGCTGCTGTTTTAGCTGCAAGGGTAAATGCAGTTGCTGTATTAGCTGTGCAGATAATAACACCTGTTGTATAAGAAGCAGAAAAAGTTGCTGTGTAAGTCGAAAGGGCAAAAATTGTTGCAGGGAGAAGAAAATTCGTACCAGCTGCGTCAGGTGGGACAACAGTTTCATTGATGGCAAGCGTCGGTTTTGTACTTGTTCTCTGTATTCGGCGTTATTCTTTCATCCGGCTATTGCTTGCATTCATGCTGTGTTTGCCGGTGTTATATGTGAGTATTTGCTGGTGTCATGTTCTATGGTGTCAATGGTCTATCGACTTGCATGAATTCAATTTTTAACCTACAAAAGTTTTTATTTAACTTTTCACCTAACTTTTTTTAAATAATTGCTATCACCATCGTCGCCATCGTCCTAATTATCAAAATCTTTTTCTTCTTCATCATCATCTTCATCATCAACATCTTCATCATCTTCTTCTTCATCATCATCAACATCTCCAAAACCATCTAGATTATTCCTACCCGTACATCATTGTGGTTGGTTCTGTCATCACAAATGCCATACACTTTGCATCTTATCGTAATCAGGTGGGCATTGAAAATAATGATTATTATTATCATTCATTTATTATTTTTGCAATTATCATTATTATTTTATTATTTAATAATAACTATTGTCTGCTCTGTATTCTTATTTGTTATATATCATCATTGTGCCTTTGTAGTAATGCTCATATTAATCATTTTATTTTATTATTTTTATTTTTTTAATTAATCGTCACAGACACCAGTTGGCCTCCTGAAGTCCCTAACCACTAAACCACGAAACATGGTCATACTAATGGCCCACTGGCTGGTCCATGCATTCGGTATAATTTCACTTTTAAGCTCGAACATAAAGACAAACCAGCTGGCCTACTTATGTTTGATACCAACTCCTTGTCTAGTTTACGTAATCAGCGTCTATTTCACAGATCCGGACGTGGTCTGGGATAAAGAGAATTACACTAACAATGATAGTAGCAATTTCGCCGTCGGGCCGGACAGCATGAATGCGGCTGGTAGTGGTGTGGCAGCTACTTCCACTGCTGCCGTTAACGGGAGTTTCAGAGAGATGGGCGATCAGAAGGCCAATAATAGTAGTAAGGAAATCGATGAGGCCATTTATGAGGAGGTGGTTGACGTTGCTGAAGCTGTGCCACTTAAGGAGTGAGTGATTGGTCGGTTGGTCATTTGGTAGGTGGTCAGTCAGTCGTTGATTTCTTAGTTGATGGACAGCTTGTGCTAGTTCGTTATTATTTTCATTTACCAATTGCAGAACCGTTACATAGTTTATATTTTCCAAATGGAATAAATGACTTGAAAATGAGCTATGTTTTAGATGATCTGTAATGATTAAGTTTTGACGTCTCATGTTCAGTTAGTGTACATTAGTTACTCTGATGTTTTAAAAATATCTACCCATAAATTTGTAAATAAAATAAACAGTTGTATAAATGTGTCTGTTTTGTATTTAATGCTTTCACAAATATTTTCACTTTGGTGGTGTTTTAACTATTAAATTATACATAGGAATTGAAAAATACCCCAAAAACCTGAGATGTACCACTATGATTTAATATTTGACATGGATAGGTTTATTGCTTGTAAATTATGTAATCTATATATATAGTCATTGTACCATATATATATATATATATATATATTACATAGTTTATATATATTTATATAAATTATGTAATATATATATATACATAAATATATGGTTAAGACATTCATTTACTCGAGATCAAACGTTTAATATAAAGACGTTTTTGTTTCAACGATTTTTAATTAATTTCAACAATCAAAGGATAATTATTTCATAATAAAATATCTTTTCATATTATAATATATTATATTATATATTTAATTATAATATATTGAAGTTTAATAATAGTGAAGGCTTATTTACCAGCATACAACACCTTCTTATGGGTTGAAGCAGGGATATGCAGAGAACCTCAATTTTTTCAACTTTTAATTATTTTCAGTAATGTCTCCCCTTGCTCCAAACCACATAACTAGAATAATAGAACTAATCGATCTATCGGTCGGGCTATTTGTCGTGCTTGGATTGTTGGCTTACGAAATTGCATGGATTTTAACGAGCAAGCTATATGAAATATTTACTTGATTTAATATGCTTAAAACATTGTTTTAATTCTATTAAATTTTAATAATGATTAATAGAATTATGTATTATTGAATTATTTTTGTTAATTTGAATATAAAAATTGCTTTTGGTCCGGTGAAATCCGGTGGCTTACTGAAGCCGAAGGTTGGCTTAGTAGGATTGAACTATAGTCACCCTTTTTTTACACTATTCGATCATGTTAAAAATTTGTTTGCTTATGAAATAAACGGCCTAAATAAATCAAAATTGTTATTTGAACAACTATCTTCATTATATTCAATGAATATTTTACATTCTGCTGGTCCCCATAAGAAACTGGCTGCTGAAATCATACGTTGGCTTACAGCAGTGGATTACAGGGTTTCATAGAACTCTTACGATAGCAGTTTTTAGTACATATAATGCTTTTAA